TAATTTTGAATTGTTTATTCTTTGATCTAAATCTCCACTATCAATCAATTTTATAGCATTAGGTCTTTGAGTGTCTTCAATTTCTTTTTTTAATTTATTAAATAAATTATTAATTATAGGTTGTTTTGTTTGAGGATCATCCATTTCTATATCTTTATCATCCTGTTCTGATGGAGTTTGATCTGGTTTATTTTTAGTTTGTCTTTGATTTTGGTCTTGATTTGTTTGTTGATTTGAATAATACTGAACTAATACTTGTTTAATAGCCATAGCATAAATAATATTTGTTTCATTAATGTCATTTTGTTTTTTATTAATTGATTCAAAATTAGAATAATAACAACAATCTTTAAATTTATTATTATTATATTTGCATTTACAAGACATTTTGAATAAAATTAAAAATTAAAAATAAAAAAAAAAGAAAATTTCTATATTTATATATTTTTTTAAAAAAAAATTAAATTTCTGCATCTTCAACTTCTTCCATCGGTTACCCACCACCATTTTTTTCTTGTTGTGCTTGTATTATTTGTTATGCAATTATATTTGCTATTTCATATGTATTTTCAATATTGGTATCATATCTATATACGATTTCAATTACTCTATCACTAGAATATACTGGTATCTAGCTTGAATTGAAAAATTTTGACCTAAAAAATATATATTATTATTTGTTAAATATCGAGGATCTTGTTGATTTGGATTTTGAGCATCTGATGGTGATATTTTGTTACGAGTCTTCTCATTTTAAAAAATCTAGACATGTAATCAACTACTAAGATTAATGCAAAATTTGCTATATCAAAAATGATACTGTCTGTATCATCTTCTTCTAGAAGCATACAAACTTTTTGTTCATCTTTGCTAAATTTTTGATAACACATATAAAAATTCTAGTCTTTTAGTAAATATCCTGTTTGATCACAATTAATTTCTCCATAATATTTAGCTAAGATTTGAAAATAATCTTTTAATTCTGATCATTTAAGTTTTCTGGATCTACAAGAATTTCTTCAGAAGTTATATCATTCTGTGTTTTTCTTGCCAAATCTTTATCACAAATTCTAACCAGAAAAAAATGTAATCCCATTTTTTGAATTAAAGGAGTTAGTAAAGTTTACCGCCAGCAACAGAAACTTTATAATATTCAACTATTAAATCTGTAGCATTTAATTTTTCACTATCCTCATCTCTATCAGGTGGGTCTATAGCCTATAGCACAATTCTAATTAAATTTCCAATTTGTCCTGTGTGAACTGATATTAAAACCAAATGAATCGCAATATCTGATAAGACTAATTTACTAAATCTAGGCTTGTTTTCTTCTTCTTGAAATAATCTCCATATATTTACATATTTATATAATGTATCATTATAATATAATCGATCATTTTTAAAAGTTGCTTCAAAGTTTATTCTATTAACTTTTGATCCATCAGGTCTTTTACTTTCACATACATTATAAGCTTTTTCATTACCAACAATACAAGAACCAATAGCACATACCTTTTTTTGCACCACCTTCATTGTTATCTCTTTTTCTTTTTAACATTTTTGTTTACATTTAAATCACAATATATTTTTTCGACAAGAATTACAAGAACTGAAACTAACTTGTAATTTTTTT